TGTTCAGCTGCAGGTGGACATGTTCAGCTGCAGGTGGACATGTTCAGCTGCAGGTGGACAGGTTCGCTGCACCTCGGTTTAAAAACAGTCAGCTGATCCGTCGTGGTTTTGTTGCACTTGTGACGTGAACACACGGGGGGAAATGCTGTGAAGTGCTTTTAGAAATATAATAAATATAAAATATGACGTAATCCTCGGTGGAAAATAGTCCAGGAAACGTGTGTGTTCCCGGGAGGTGTTCACCTGCAGCTGAGTGAAGCTGACCCCCCACCCACAGAGGAAGAAAAAAAGGCAGTAATTATTGATAAGGTAACCATGCTGTGGCTTCACCTGTCACATTTTCTTTTAAAGAAAAAGTAGCTTGCAAAGCTGTCGCATCGGTGCTACGTGATTAGAAGCAGAGTTTTCATTGCGTGCACACACACGTCTTCCTATCTTTGTGAGGACCACACACAGCTCTCAGCCTCACTCTGCGCCGTCTTTTCCCCAAGTTTGATGAGAGGTGGATATGGAGGGACGCAAAAAAATAGCTCTCGACTTGATCTGGCCTTATTTAAATAAAAATGACTACATGTCGTGAAATTCTTAGAGAGGCGGGCCGTCTCGTTGGGGGGGGGCTGTTTAACGGTAGGGGAAACACTGGTGTTTTTGCACTTCAGTACCTGTGATGGCGTTCATGAAAGTGGACAGGGACCGGTTGAGCATCTTAAAGAAGGGATCCCTGCAAGGATACTTCTCTGATCCACACAGGACCATGTGCTCCAGGATGTGGGGGACCCCGGTGCTGTCCATRGGGGTGGTCCTGAACTGGACACTGAAACYRGGTAAAAGAGAGTATATGGTTGAATATGTCGTTTATGATTCTATGAATGCAACGGTGCAGTGAGTCACAACCTGAAGAGGTTTTCTGAGTCATCCCTGGCTGCGTGCAAATACTGAGCTCCAGTTTTATCATGGCTCAACTTCACCGCTGTGAGAGACAAATCAGGGACTGCTACAACCTGGGGACGGACACAATAATCAGCTGTAATCACGTTTATTAGCAGAAATTCTTCTCTCACCTGCTGGAATGAGTCTGAAATCTGTTTTTTTTGCCAAGCTGCACCCACCTCTCTGACAGTAAAACCATGGATTTTCTGCCCTGGTTGGTACTGAAGAGCCTTTTCTCTTGCTGAAGTGCTCCTCAGCCTCCACGTTTGCTGCTGTCCACTAAAACTTAAACAAAGCAGTTAAATACCCAGTGAGATACTCTGAACACCTGTTTAAAGAAAGTACACAAGTATTCAGTACACAATTAAACAACAAACCAGGTAATGTGTCAAATCATTATCCATCATTTCAATAATTAAGTAGATATTAAGGCTTTTCCAAGTTTACTGCATAAAATTAAAGACAACATATC